GCTCTTGTTACCCAGGCTGGAGTGCAATGGCGCGATCTCGGCTCACTGCAACCTCCGCCTCCTGGGTTCAGGCAATTCTCCTGCCTCAGCCTCCTGAGTAGCTGGGATTACAGGCACGTGCCACCATGCCCAGCTAATTTTTTGTAGTTTTAGTAGAGACGGGGTTTCACCATATTGACCAGGATGGTCTCGATCTCTTGACCTCGTGATCCACCCACCTCGGCCTCCCAAAGTGCTGGGATTACAGGCTTGAGCCACTGCGCCCGGCTGAGGTTATTTCTTAAAATGTTATTTTGATTTTCTAATCACGGGGGTTTGGGACAGGAATGATGAAGCAGGTTCAAACTGAAGTTGGCATCTTTTCCTCCATACTATTGTTCAGTGTTGCAGTACTGAACATATTAAATGTGAGTCAAAAGATAACTTTATGTTCACTGATCAAGGGGAACAGATAAAAGAATATTTTAATTTATTGAACTTATCTCCCAAAGTAGATTACAAAATTGAACAAATAATGGTTTGAACTTTTCTCATTCAGAATGTTTATGAGGAAGTAAGGCAGAGAGAGAAAACCCATGATACTTATTTTAAAGGGAGCCAGGGACTTTCATAATCATTTGAACCTATTGAAGCCTTTACATCCTACCCTATCTTTTTCAATTTCCTGGGGAAGAGAGAGTTCTGGGTTCATAAAGTTAAGCCATAATTCAGGAGAAGCCATGATCATTTCATCACCAGAAACCACATATGGCATATGGATAACTATGTCTAGACTTTTGGGAGTCTTCTCCCCAGGGCCCAGAGTGGGACAGTGAAGCCTGGGATATGAGTCTCATTTCCATTTTCTGTCTTAATTTATATGCCTTGAACCAGGTGGATGGGTTAGGAAAAATAAAATAAAAATCAAATCCTGTGAATTATTTAGGTTAGCGCATTTTCAACCTTAAATCATGAGATTCAGAAAATATATTTAAGGATAGAGTTTATCTGAGCATAAAGCTAAGGGTAGCCACCTGGAAGACACCAACTCCAAATGAATGAGGTCAGCACTCCATAGTGGAGAACGTAAGGTCTCACTTACATGGGCAGAGACAGAGAAATTTTTAGCAGTATTACATTTTCCATATGAGACCACGCATAATCACAGCACTTTGATTGGTTATAGAGCGCTACATTCCAAGGAAGATTACTTTATTACTCTCTGAAAAGGCATAGTGATCTGAGGGGTCTTATCTCTTGTACCATTTGGTTTTAACCATTTACAGGAAAAAAAGGCTGAAGTTACAGCTGCCTGCTGCATGACTCAGGCTGCATAGCCACAGTCCTCTCATGGCTCAGAATCACTGAAAGTTCCCCAGCTGTAAGTTTGAATTATTTAATTTCACAATATACAATTCTTTGGTAGAAAACCCATCCCCTTGGAAATTTAGTAGGAATTTAAAAAAAAAAACAACCCTTTTTATTTTGAGATAATCAGGTTTGCATGCAGTTGCAGGGAAGAGTACAGAGATCCCAGGTACACTTTACTCAATTGTCCCCTATACTAACATTTTGCAAAACAATAGTACAACATCAAAATCAAGATATTGAGACAGATGTGATCCACCAATTTTGCTCAGATTTCCGGTTTTACCTGTACTTATTTGAGTGCATGTCTGTTTATGCACATATTCCTGTGTCTTTACATTTATGCAGTTTAAAACGGAAATAGACTTTGTGTTTTAGCACAGTTTTTGGTTCACAGCAATAATGAACAGAAGATACAGAGATTTCCTATATACTACCTGTGCCTACATGGATAGCCTCCCTTATTAGATACATCCTTCACCAGGGTGGTACATGTTTTGCAACTGATGAACCTACACTGACACATCATGGTCACCCTAAGTCTATAGGCTATATTAGGGTTCACTCTTGGTATTGTACATCATAAGACTTTGGAAACATTTATTATGACATGTACCTGCTGTTATGGCATCATACAGAGTAGTTTCACTACCGTGAAAATCCTCTGTGTTCTGCCTATTCATCCCCTCTTCTTCCCTAACTCCTGACAACCACTGATCTTTTTACTCTTTCCATAGTTTTGCCTTTTCCAGAATAGCATATAGTTGGAATCATGTTATGTCGCATTTTCAGACTGGCGTCTTTCACTTAGTAATAGTGAAAGAAGGTTCATTATTTAAGGTTCCTCTATGTCTTTTCATGGCTTGGTAGCTCATTTCTTTCTTTTTTTTTTTTTTTTTTTTTTTGGGAC